ACATCAGAATGGCGAGGAATACCGAGTGTTGAGTCATCGTTTGTGGCGAACAAGGTATTGTTCCATCATTAAAGTGATGTAAATTGTATGTTTGCAATGTATGTACTTAAGTATTATCGAGATGGGACATCCTTGAATCACCCCGTAAGCAGTTAGATCCAAGGGTATAATGCGGTGCACCGTAAAATCCGGGTTGGAAAAGCGATTCGCCTATTTGTATACTCCGGCAAATGAACCCCGATTTTTATGATCTTCTGTAACTAAGCTAAAGATCCACGCCAATTTTATTTAAGACTTATCAATGGTATAATTGAGTAAGGTGAGTTTCTTTTCTACTTTCCAGGGTTACCGGTCTCATGAAAGCTGGTGCCTTGAAATTCGAGGACAGGCCTCTGTGGTACGACGTGTATTCTGCTTTTCCTCCAAAATATGAACCTCGATTTGACCGTCTTCCTATTAAAGCGGAGGTAAAGTCGATCGTGTATCCCGAAGACATCGTTAGAGCGTACGTCTTTGTATTAATTTCACAAATGTTGTTTGAGATTGTTTATTTCAGAAGATTCTACCAAAAATACGGTTCTTCCAAAAGTACAATTTTTGACTTGTTCAATGAGAAGACAAAGCCGATTGCAGAGATGTAAGTTTGAACTGGAAATGGAACTGCGAAGTTCCATTTTCATTGATGAAATAAGTTTGTATATTCATTGACGAGCATATCATTTTTAACCTTCACGTCACGTACAGCTCACAAAATATTGTTTACTGAATATTACTATATTCGTATCGTATCAGCAATGCATAATACACCTTAGCAATTTCAGTTCTTGGTGTAATGGCAACTAGAGGATGACAGATCTTGACATCTTAAAAAATCTTAGGAAAGATACCATGTCTACAAGGTACGGATATGATTACAAACGTTTTGTTCTCAAAGAGAGCATGTTGAAATTGTTTGCGCTATCATGTGATAGCTCATCTCATCGCTTCTGAGTCATGCCAGTTGCTTCTGAGTAGTTCAGTTTTTCAAAGTGCCCAACTCGGAGTCAGAAGATTAATGTCTGAAATTCCAACTGGATCACTAGCCTTCTGTCCGTCTGAGAATAAACATACCCAACTGGTGACTTATAAATGAATATTACAGCATCACCAGAAGTTTCGTTACAACAGCAGTGATATAACAAAAGAGTAATGCATCCAGTTGTTTATGATAATAGCTAGGGTTACACCTTTTGATTATTATCACATTGAATAAGCAGCTATCAGGTGAGTCAAAGCAAATGACAACTCTGTGAGGTGTTCGCATCAGATAGCGTGACCGTATCTCTCGCCAATTCTGATATGATTGCACCAAAATACTATGCTGTAACTGTTATTCGCAGGTCAATGAGTTTCCATTTCTCAGTTGGTTGACCGAAGCAACTTTTGACTAGTTCTTTGTTCAAAGGAATTGGTGGTTAAAATACAAAGATTCTAACCCGGCACCTTCGATGTTCGTAACCGACCTTTTTATCGCTATGCCACCGCATTTATGCGTCTTCGATCAGTGAATAACCAAAAGAATCAAATATGGATGCTATGCATTGCCTTAACAGATCAAACTTAAAATGACGTTTTGTTATGTTTCTTAAATATCTCTGACCTCTAATAAATTTTAGGTTTGTCGAAAAGTTTTATGCACTTAGTAACGACGAAAGTTGCGGAAAGTCGTTCAACGCCTGTTTCGAGAATGCAGCCAAGTTCATAGCATCTGAAGGCATCAGCCTGGAAAGTAGAGATGGCCGGAGACAGGGAGCCCAGGAAGACGTTGGAGAATACAACTCACGAGAAAAGTTGCCAGTGGAAAATATTGATGTCTCAAAGATATTAAATTAAGATAAGACACGGTTCGAAACCTGGAATAAAACACTTTTACTACTGACGGTTTCGGAACCCAGGGCGGTGTTCCTTCTTCAGCACAAAATTTAATTCTCAACGATTCTATCATGGAAGATTTTATACCTCTGCTACGTCCCGATCTTCTGGAGTTGCTGAGGGTGAAGGAGAAATAGAGGTATAACAGCAAGAAAACATTTCTGAAGTTCATTTTTTCTGTTCTACTAAGAAGAGATGCGTTATTACTATTGCCAAATAGAGATTATATATATGGTTAATACACAGGAATGGTACCTTTTATTATTTGGCTTTTTTACAATAAATTGAAAGAAATATTCTCTGATGCAGCTGTTATTGAGCGTTATAAAAGGAACACTGTTGGGTTCCAATAGCTCCGCTCTTATTCATAATTCTGTCTAGGTTTGATTCGCTTTTTCTATCTCTTAGATACCGTTTTGCCTGTAAATTTATGTGATCATCACCTCGAGACATTTCCATAAACTGAACGTCTCTGGTTTGCGATGTCAGCTGTATTCGCTGCTTCAAAACACTTACATTACGAAGCACTGGTTGCTACACCGTAGAAGAAACAGTGCCTTTCTTGTTTTTCCGGTTTTATGGTGTCTACCTGAGTCGACATTTGCCATGTTTTGACTCCCACGTGAGAAGCTCTATGCTTAACCAGTTTGTCTATCAGGGTCTACCTTCTTTTCTTCATTTCGGCACATACTAAGCTCACCTGTGCGAAAAACGAAATACAGCCATTCCTTACATAATCCTGCCATGTAATGATCACTGTGTGTCAAAGTCAACGTTCAGCGTTGTTGTGCGTAACTCAACTGGTGTTCTTGATTGTTGATTACAACAGCAGTTTCCATTATATAGAACATTGATTAGTAGTTCTGCACTGTCGTTTCATGCTGAAATGCATTGTTTAGATTTCGTTCGGTTAAATACACCCATATATTTATTGTTAGAAAAAGCGACATACTTTTTTGATGCAATAACCGCATACGTAAAATCTCATAACGCAGAAACCTAGTATCTACGTATAAAATTGAACAGAAATTCGACTGAGCGATCACTATAGAGTTTTAGGGGCGTTCGACATTTTTCAGCTTTGCAAATAATTCAGTTTTCATTCTTGGATGGCTTTCTCCTGGTGAGGTTGCGTTCATTTTTCCACATTGTATATTCTTTCTAAATCATAACGAAGCTTGATAAATATTAAGCTGTCATTTGGCACTAACGACAAATACTGAGTCATCAATTTCGGACTGGTTAAAAGTCGGTGCAAAATCACTTTGTGCCTCTTTCATTGTTATTTTGGAAACGGGATCCGTGCTGTTCAAAATATCAGCTTTGTGAGTAAATACATGTGAATATGTATTCGAGATTTTACGGTTTGTGGCATCCCCATTTATTTGGTAAACAGCAGTAAAAATTATATGCCGGCATCCCTATCTGAAACTACAAAATATGAATTTAAGATTCATGTTGTTTGATACAAACTATAACCCATTGATAACTTGTGGCTTCATCATCTAGTTTCTGCTCTTACCGTCTAAGTGAGATAATATTGCAATTTTCGACTGAGTTTCCACTGTGGTCATCGTTCCCTTAGAATGTTATGTGATGCGCTATATCGCACTTGCTGCTTCCGTTCAAAACGTGCAGCGGCTTCGCTGCTGAACCGTGTTTTTGTATGGATCTCCAATAGCCATCGTCGTGCTGGTAAGCGCCCAGCTGCCCAAAGCCGTGGAGCAGGTTCTGATCGGCCTCGGTTCGTCAACAATTTGCCCAGCCCTTGTCCACACGGACTATGACCAAAGCCGGTATAACGTTCATAGCGTTGGAAATCATCTGGGCAGGTGATTAAGTTTTAACGGAGAGGTCGCCATAGTTACCACTCATCCGGATTTTGTGTTTGGCGACAGCGAAGCTTAGGGTATGCCATTTAAGCTTTGCGTTCATATGATCAACCAGGAGGGTTTCAGTCGTTAGTAAAACCGGTATTTGCTGCACAGCTACTACTATGCCAGGCCATGTGCTTTACTCAGCACCCACCTACGCATTGAGGTCACTTGAATGTTGACGTGATAGGACGTTAACAGTCAACTGCAAACGGTCATGGAAAAGGCCTTTGTGATTGTCATGCGATTAGAGCACAGGTGACAGTAACATTCAGTGTCGCCTGCTTGGCATTCATGCAACAGGCTAGCATTCTCTCCAATACTCACCTCAGAAATTGCCGCCACGGCTACCCTAGGAGACAATAGAATGCAACACCAACACGGTGTAATCTGCTGGGACAACCCATTCTGTGGATTAAATATCATCAGCACAACAGGCAGATGCGCTTCTGACCCCCTGCTTCCTAATAACGAACTTAGCCTGAACTATGTTCATCAGATTAGTCTGTGCAAAGCACCACTTGTGGCTAATCACCAACTATTGTAACAGTACATCTGCCTAAGCTGCGGTCTCGGGTGATTTCTAATTTTCGTATTTTTGGCTCCAATAATGTGAAGCTGGGAACTAAGAATGCACTATCGGACCATGCTAACAGATTACCTTAATTCTGTTCTCTTCTGTTGCGATTTTCTCTGCAGCCAATTTTCTCGCTTGGACCTCCCGTTTCCATTTAGGTATTTCTCTGCCAGTTTTTTCGTCTATCAACGGAACTTCATTTATGCAATTTTCCGGAGTGAAAATTTTCTTCATTTCTTCAATTTTTTGTTGCATCTACAGATTTATTTTAGTAATGCAGCGCTTCAGTATTAGTATTTACCTCTGCTTCCTTTTCAGCCATGATCTGATGTTTGAGTTTCTTCAGGTCTTTGAGTGTGAAAGAGTTCTTGTTAAAGTTTTCCAGTTCTGATATGACACTGTCAGATTCTGGTGTTCTTCGTAATCCCATGTCGATGGATTCAGTTTCTGCAAATTTAATAGGTTAATAAATTTGTACGTCTATATACATTCAAATAATTCCAGTATGGAGCAGCCAGTGGAAATGGATCCGTAGCAGTTTAACTTTACTACGGTAAGTTTATCTCGTCGACAAAGTGAAGAAACAAAGGTCTGTCACAGCAAAATGGTGTATGGAGCACGAACTGTAAATAAGCACCTTAATGCATTCAAGGGTTTGATTGTAAAAGTTTGGTTGAATATTTGTTAATTTCTGAAATTGTACAAGGAAGTTATTTCCATCGGTTTTCTGACCAACCAGTACCCTTTTTTGATATGAAGTTTCAAAGCAGATAGAACGAAATTCTTTATCAGTTTAAGCGAAACAGTGCCTCATCAATCTTAATTGTTCTGAAATTAGAACCTGCTTTTGTGTAGTATA